CCAATAAATATAAAAAATACACAGGTTAGGAAGAATGATGAGATGAAACAATAAATTTTAACATTTTATTATGGTGGATGATACACGTGAATAATCACGTTAGTGCAAGGTCCATCATATTAAGAGGCTGAGTAGATAATAAAAATCACAGGCTGTAATATTTAAGCATATATTCAGACTCAGCTCGCTGAGCTTAAGCTTCTTTTAAATGTTGAGAAAACCAAGGTAATGCTTTTTTCAAAATCAAAAAAGACTCCAGAGACTGCTTTAGATATTGTTACTATGCAGTACAAGTACTATAAGTGGCTACCTGTTATAAATACCTTGGTATCTGGTTTGAGGATTGTCTTACTTTTAAACTTCATGTCAATAACCTGCTTAAAAAGCTGAGGGTTAGACTAGGTTTCTTTTTCAGAAACAAGTCCTATTTCTCGCTTGAGGCCAGAAAAAGGCTAGTCACTGTGACCTTTTTACCTGTGCTGGACTATGGTGATTTGATCTATGTGAATGCACCTGCCCATTGCCTGGAAAAGTTAGATGCCGCCTATCACAGCGCACTGAGATTTGTTACTAACTGTAAGGCACTTACTCATCACTGTACCCTGTATGCCAGGGCAGGTCTGCCTTCACTAACTGTACGGAGGCTCAGCCATTGGTACATGTTTATCTATAAAGCCATGTTGGGTAAACTACCACCTTATATCTGCTCTTTGATCTCACAGAGAGTGGCAAGTAGCTATTGCCTGATATCCCAGGATGTGTTTTTATTACATGTGCCAAGTGCTAGGACTGTTTTAGGTACTAAAGCTTTTATGTGTGCTGCTCCTCTAGCTTGGAACACTACGCACAAAAAATTGAAACTGAGCATTTTGGTTCCCTTGCATCATTTTAAAGCTCAGATAGATGAAATGTTATTAGATATCTGTCATTGTGAATAGGTTGCTAATGTAATTATGTTATATTGTTATATTGATGTCCTTTTTCTTTTCTGTTGTTTTTATGTGTAACCAATGTGCTGCAGGTCTCCCTTGAAAAAGAGATTGTTGATCTCAATGGGATTTTCACCTGGTTAAATAAAGGCTACAAACAAAATTATAAAAAAACGTTGGTCAACCAAAACTAGACTCAATTAATCAAAATGTGAGTAAAAGTAATGAAAGCATTCTGATCTAAAGTGTAAGACCAAGACTATATCCAAAACAAACACTGAATTAGGGTGATCCAAACCGGCAAAATAATGTCAAACTCTTCATTAACCTCTTATGCAATTCCTATCTGTAATTCGTATGGATTCTAGCTATCGATATACCATGTTCCCAGCAGAGAGGATTGTGGGACTATAGGAGGCAGGACGGGGTCTGTTGGTAGGAAGCAGGTCTGCCACCAGAGAAGGAGGAGAAGACTGATGGAGAAGGAAAAGAAAAAGAAGAGAAGATAGAAGGGTGAAGAGGTGAAGTAGGAGAAAAGACAAGTACAGTTGAAGATCAAGGAAATGTTATAATAGAGGAATAAAGGTAGAATGAAGGCTAAGCAGTAAAAGCAACACGATATAGGTTTTCTATACTTGTGAAGAATAAACATTTTTACAATTTTAACATAAAGCTATTATTACAGAAAGCTGTGCAGTTACCTTGTTGGTTGGTTCCGTGTTCTCGCTGTGCTCCGTGTTGCCGTTGACATTCCAGCGGGCCTCGTCCATGTCGGGTACCTTGCCGGGGCCCTTCTTCTTCTTCAGCTTGGCCAGGATGGAGGACTCTCTCTCTGGGAACGGAGGCATTTCCTCTAGCACCGTGGCCTGTGGAGGGACAGCGACAGTGAGGACTGGGCAATACACACAGCTGCTGCACCTCTGTACTACGAGCAGTAATTATTATTGTTATTATTATCAGAAATCAGGGATTTTACAGATATTGAGTAATCACATTTCATCTTGCATATGACACCAAAGGAGTGGCCGGTTAAACATATAGAGCAGGGGTCGGCAACCATTGGCACGAGGCAGCGTAACCAGTGGCACACTAGGAATAAGTGGAAGAAGTAAGCAAAATATTTTAATTGTATTTTCGGATCCTGAACGAGACCGCTGCCAGAGCGCGTCTCCCCGTTACCTGCAGGAGGAAGCCGTGCACGCAACGCAGCCCCGCTCTCTTTAACTTCAGACGACTTGCTGCTGCTTTCCTCCGTGGTGAAACGATCAGGGGCGAAATAATATGCTACACAGGGGCGGACTGGCCATCTGTGTGTTCTGGAGAATCACAGAACGGACGGTCGTCATTAATATTATGCCGTTCAAACCAATTATTTAAATTTGTTTTAACGGCATCATTTAAGTTCCGCACACACTGCTTCCTCACAGCGAGGCTCCCCCGGCCCTCCTGTTGACAGTTCACGAGCGTCGAGCTCTGATTGAGTCTATGTTGTAAAAAAGAGGTTATCAAAAAGTTGCAATATGGACTAGTTCAATATCCAAATCTCAGTAAGGGTAATATTTGGTATGAAGTCTTGTGTTGCTACAAAGAAGTGCCAGGCAACACACGGTATTCCACAAACTTAATCAAAAGTCCTTGTTTGGTACAGATCTTCATTGTTATGTAAATCAACGCAGACTTTTTTTAACCTGTTTTTGTGAAAGCTTGAGTGTGGTCCAGACTGATAGAATTTGGCGTAATCAGTATTTTGGTGTACTTCCTGCAGAACCCCCTCACCAGTATGTCAGTGCTGGCGATGCAGCTGAGCCTCAGGTACTCGATGGCTCTCTGCTGCAGCTCCACGTCAGCATTGCGCAGCTGGCTGTCTGAGCGCAGCACGTCCTGGATGGTGGGCTTCACTTCTGGAAACAGGTTAATGAACTTGATGTAGGCGGACAGCAGCAGGGCCCGGGTCGGCACCGAGCACAGGTGGAACTTAGAGTGGAGGAGGTTGAACTGGACCAGAGGGCTGAGGGAGGAGAACACAAAAGCATTCAGGTCAGATCGAGACTCTTCACAAAACTAACTCAATATGTCCCTTGTATATTACACTGCTGCTTGTTTCCTATGGAAAACACAGCACCATGTTTAGTTTAGGTTCACCCAAATTACACAAACATTACAAAATGTTTTTTTAATTAGAACTTGTCTCATCTAGCTGTGCAGGTAGTGTTGACTTCATTAACAGTACTTTGTAAACAAGAAATAGTCCAGGTGAAAACTTTGAGAGAAGCGGGGATACTTCTCTAGGGTTAATTTCATCAGCTATTTTTTTATTTTGTTTTAGTCCTGTGTTAAATTTCCTTTTTAGTTTTAGTCACCTTCATCCTGTTTTTATTCAGTCAAGTTTTAGTCGACTAAAAGTCTGAGCATTTTAGTCTTATTTTAGTCAAAGAAAACTAATTATTTTAGTCTACTTTTTGTCAATGAAAACTGTTGAGTCTTTTTTAGTCATCAGATTATATAGAACATTTCAGTCAAACTATTCTAGCCAAAACCAATAATTTTAGTCAAACTTATTTCACATGATGAAAAACACAGGTTCAATGATTAAGAAGCTTTGCAGAGAGTATCAGTTTGTGGTGTTTTTACCAGCTGTGTTATGGCCACATTGCTTCTCTTCTGATGAAACAATGCATTCGCTTTTTTTCTCCGCCTCATTGTAGCGAAAATGGGCCCATCACATTGTTTCTTTCTCCCAAAGAACTGACTATCAGAAATGTAACGTTATCTTTGATAATATTTCGTCTCCTCATTTTTCGTCAACGAAATTAAAGAGAGATTTTGGCATAGTTTTTATTTAGTAAACTACATTTTCGTCTCGTCACTTTTCGTCAACGATATTGCATGATGATTTTGTTACAGTTATTGTTTACTGCCGTCAGTGCCGTCTCGTCATCGTCTCGTTTTAGTCATGGAAAAAAGGTCGTTGAGGAACATATTTCGTCAGTTTTAGTCAACGAAATTAACACTACTTCTCTCAAAGAGACACAGCTGTTCCATTTGCTGTTAAAAAACAATTCTATTCAAATATCTCAAAATGTGGAAAACAAAACCATATGAATGCTTGCAGTTTACCTGGAGCGTGGGTCCCCAGCAATAAGGTTTCCAAACTCTCCGAGGATGTAACCCCCCACCTTCAGCAGGTTCTCGTGGCAGGCTGGAGCCTGCAGTGCCTACAAGAGTTCACAAAGCATGACAACATTGGGTTGGAACACAATCTATACATAATATCTACTGCAAGCAGAGGTGTTGCTCAGCCACCCAATATTGTCAGTATGGGCTTCACACAGTTAAAATGTTAAGCACAAGTCAAAATGTTAAGCACAAGTATACCATTTTTATTTTATTTTTTAAATGTTGTTTAATTCAATATATATTTTCAGTTTCACAGTGCGATCTTAGTTTATAGCTAGCTCACATTTGTAAAGTTACTTGCTGTATAACTCTGCATTAAGAAAAATGCATTGCAACTTTCCTTTGCAGGCTTCCTGTTATTATCTCAAATGACTCCCTCATTCATGAGGGCTACATCTGGCCTAGATGTGCATCTAGAGCACGTGTGTCAAACTCAAGGCCCGGGGGCCAAATCGGGCCCTTGGTGGATTTAATTTCGGCCCTCCAACTATCTGTTCTTCTACGCACAAAATTCTTTATTATTCCGCCTGTTATTTTGACCCTCTTCTTCTCCCACATTCCACATCGCAGAAACTCCGTTCAAACTCGTTCAGCTCGGTCGGGAATCGATGGCTATTGCTTTTCTCATTCATAACTTTCATAATTCCCGAGATACATCCCATAATTCATAAAATGCTTAACATTTTAACTTTAACATTGCGCAGCTCGAGGCAGAGTTAGAGTGGAGGACAGTTTGAAATTCGCCTTCATATATATATTTTTTTTAAACCTGCCATCATTCCCAAACCCTTGGCCTACATTCCTGAGACATAATTGTTCATGACAAACGTAGGAAAACATCTCGTAGCTTGAAAAATGAAAAAAAATTAAGCAAAAAAAATTGTGCAAAATGCCTCTTGAGGGCATGAAGTGACCAAAACTTTCAACATGCCTCCATTAAAGCCCATTGTAATTTCAGGCTGATATTTCCTCACAGCAGCAGCCGCACACCTTTAGTTAAACTGCCAAAAAGGCCACATTATTAACCCGTAACTACACAAAAGTCACACTTCAGATACTCAAGGTCCTTGACATGCTTCACGCTTTAAAATTTCACAGATATCTGTTACGGTTCTTCAACAAAATGTTCACATGTAAGAGGTTTATCTCTCATTCAGAACAATGGAAACCTTTGATCTCTGCACACCTCATTAGCTCAAATATAAACACCTGTGTAATGGAACACGATGATGTCATAACTCCAACTGACATGCTCAGAGCAGCAGACTTCAGATAATGGTTAATGGTCCTGCCCTCAATAGCTCTACGTCAATTATGGGGTATCATCATATGCCATTTCCATCGCAACGCATCCCTCGCCATAAAAGACGATGCCGCTTTACATTAAGTCCTATGAAAATGTTCAAAAAGTGCTCAAACTTCACATGTGTGCCAACAGTCCAGCCGTGAAGACATCTACGTGAGAGTTTTGAGATTTCTTCAAATGCTGTTGCCATGGTAACACAAGGCTCGACATGAAACACGGTTTTCTCATAACTTCCGTGAAAATGCTCCAAATGGCCCAAAACTTCACAGGTTCGGTAACGATGCAGCCATCAACACATCTAGGCGTATTATGGAGTGTCATCAAACACAGTTGCCATGGCGACAGATCATTCGCTATCAAGTTAGTTCGGAAGTTTGCAGTTCAAACATTCTGCTGCTTTTCCAAGCTTTTTTACTTTCTTCTCTCATCACACATTCAAGCCCCCAGTTTTCATGTATCATTTCAATCTAAAGTCTTCACTTTCTTCTTGCACATTACATTTCAGCATAGCAGTTTAGCGTCAGCTTTTCAGCACAAAGCATTCCCACTAGCAATTTCTTCAGGAATTGCATTCTCTAGTTTCTAATTACTATTCGATCTGGCCCGCCGGTATATTGCACACACACCTTCAGTCAATCCTGAGGGTTTCCTCTGCTCAGAGCCTGACCCCAAACATTGATGAACTTGCACCCAAGATGAGATGCCAAGTAATTTGGCTTGAACTAGCATCTCTAGTTTGTTTTTTTCTTTGAGGGAAATTGTTTTTTTGAAGCTGTTGTTGGCCTGTGGAAAAATCTGATCATAACAAATGACCCCGGAAAAGCTGCAGATAGAGCCATAAGAAATTAATGCAACTGATTATTTAATGTTGTTTTTATAGGCAATCATTTAAGCTTTGTTAGTTCCAGGTTTAATATGTGCAATAAGTTAATTTCGATAAGTTTTGCAATAAACATTGAACCAGTCCGGCCCTCGACTAGTACCCATTTTTTTATTTTGGCCCACTGTGTATTTTAGTTTGACACCCCTGATCTAGAGCAAACAAAGATTTAGGACATTCATAGCTGCTGCTCTGTAAGTCCCGTTAGTCTTAGGAACCTTTGGAGACCAGGAAAAAAGACATTACAGTTTTTAAACGAAAAAAGAGAAGTTAATTGCTGAAATTTGAATGTTTCAGCCAATTGCCACTTAGTCCCTATTTATTCCCCTTGATGTCCTCATGAACAGGGGCCTTATAACACATGATGGTGGACCATAAGAGGACTCTTAAGAGGAAGATTCTGAGTGTGATGACAGATATCTTCATGCCCACCTCAAAGACTGTCTTTGCGGCGTATCCTTGGACATCGTCTTGGTTTATGACGATCTGGATGACTCGATACCACACCTCCTCGCTGACGTGGTCCCCCGCGATGCGGATGAGGTTCAGAATGGTGTCCACGTACCAGGTGTAGTCTACAGCATATTTTTCAGCCAGGATAGCCACCTTGAGCACCTGAGGAAGAAAAGCAAGTGAGTCAGGGGGAGAGGCATACACAGAAGAAGAAAATGATGACCAGGCCTGTACTGATGACCCACTATCTCCTCTCTGATGGAGTAGTCTGCGTTCTCCAGGTAGCTCAGCATCTCCGCCACTATCTGCTTGGAGTTGCTGCGGTCACACATGGCGTAGAGCAGATCCACGGCCCGCTGGCGCACACTCACATCTCGCTCTGTCTGTATACAAATCAGCAGAAATGTATGACAAATGATTATGGCCAACAATATAAGAAAACAAAGCTTGATATACAACATATTTCTCTTCTACTCGCGATTGCATTAGCAACCTTCAGTGAAGGTTTTCTCAGGCTCTCTCTATCTCTTAATGCTCTGTTAGTTTAGGAAGCGCTTTATGTGAGCAGAGCAGGCAGACATTAATATCGGCAGTGATCAAGATATTTAAAAATTGTTGGCCAACAAAATCATAGATACATACATTTCAATAATTCATAGATGAATCAGGAAAAAAATTGTCAGATTATATAATAACGAAAACTATTGTTAGCTGGAGTCCTACTTTATAAGAACCTTCAGTTCATCTGTTAGTAAACTGATTGTTCGTATGAACTTGCCAGCCATTCAAATAGGCTGTTCATTATTGTTGTGTTTTCATAAACGCTGATATACCAATGTCCATAACAGACAGCTCACTTATTGCCATATCACAGCTTTGCATCTTAGAACAGAAGTCCAATTCAACATTTGTCAAGGGACAACTATCAATTAGTAGAAGAAAACACTGCATTTTAGTGGCATGACAGACTCTATAGCCAAACACTAGTCAAATGGTGGAAAAAAACCAAAGAAAAAGCGATGTTCATCATTTCCACATCACAGCTTATCAAAGCAGACAGCTGACGAAGGCCTCACCTTCAGAGCGTTGATCACAGTATCTATATGCGTCTTCACCGCCTCATGAGAGAACTCGGAGCTGGCCAGCGTGCACATACTCTCCAGAGCCAGGTAACGCAGGTTTGTTTCCCTGTGCTGCAGGAACTGGCCCAGCTGGTTGCAGGCTCGTACTAACAGGGTGGGCTCACTGAGGGACCAGAACAACAGCTAGATGAAGAGTCAACACACATTTCAACATCTAGAACCCCACATAGGTGACAAATAAAATCTAGGGGTGCAACAACTAATCGACTTAATCGATTACCAAATTAGTTGCCAACTAATTCAGTCGTTGAATCGTTGGTGACGTCATCACGTGTGTTTTACGCTCCGTTAAGCTCCAATGTTATTGGTCTTTTTATCGGTACTGGAGACATTTAAAAAATATATGTCATGTATTATTGCTACAAAAACATTATATCGCAGTCCTAGTGCCGCCAACTCGTTTCTAATATGCAAAAAGACAAACAAATGCGTATATGATGTATTTTCGATCAGACGAGATCTCTCTCTCTCCGCCTGTGTGTGAGGGGGCGGGGCAGTTTACACACACACGCAGCTGCTACATGCAGCAACACACTGCGGAGATGGCTGAGAGAACGCGCTCCGAGGTGTGGTTAAACTTTACCCGTCTCAATGTGGACAATGTTCGTTGCCAAAAGTGCAATAAGAGTTTAGCATGTAAGGGTGGTAACACGAGCAATTTGTCTAAACATTTAGCAAAAGTGCACCACATTCAGACGGAGGAATGCACCGGGTTCGACTGTCTTTCTAGTAGCTCTGTAGCCCCATCCACGAGTAACGTTTCCACGTCAGGTATTATGTATGCTAGCAGCAACACACGGAGTTAACTACATTATACAAACATGGGTTAATGATTAAAGGTAACTGAGTTATTTATTTTGTTAAAGTTTCAGCTATTCTGTTTACAGTTCTGTTATCACATTATTTAATACGCCTAATTACTTTGCTAATTAGCTGATAAGCCTGATAATGACATACGGAACGTGTTAAAGAGTTGCGGAAAATAAATCGGTAGTTGAAAATCTTAATCGAACTCCAACAAAATCCGTAACACCTTTGATTGTTACTTCTGTTATTTCTACTTATGAACTAAGTTTCTTATGTATATAATAGATATTAATTGATTTGTGTAAAACTTGTTTTAATTGTAACGAAAAAATAAATTTAATTTATTTATTATAAAGTGTAGTTTTCTTTGTTGTCAC